GAAAATCAGCTATCTTTTCTCAGCTCAAATATGTCCCCCCCCCTCTCCTGGCGGCCAAATACGACCCTCCCCCTCCTGTTGGGGAAACCCCAACAACGATGTGACCTGCGAGAAGATCTTTGAAACTTCCAGCGGAATCATAGTTTATTTCTTTCCGATTGTAGTATTCTTTTATTAAATTCCTCCCGTGCTCATCACAAAAGTATTACATTTGAGTCAAGGGAGGGTGGATAGCGCATGTGAAACTAAAAAAAACCGAGAGGAGTCAACACCCGAAAACTTTTTCCGCAAAGGCAAATACTATTGCCTCTTTCTAGCGACTAATTACGACCCTCCCTCTTCTCGCAGAGCCCCAACGTGCGAAGTGCCGTGATTATAAATTTGATACTGGTTCCTGTCTGGGACTTTTTCTGAATTGCGCTCTTCTCTGAGGTGTCACATGGCTGTCTGAGTGCGATTTTTACGACCTTGGCGCTCCTTTTTGCCAGTCACACCACGTGGCGTCCATCGCTGTTCGCCGATTTCTGAAAAACTGAAGAATTGTAGCCCGTTGTTTCATAGAAAGGGTTTATCACTGTTTTGGCCACTGGTTAGATCATATGGCTCGTCACGTCCCAGTTATAAGAAGACTCTTTTCATACGATAAGCGCTTCTGTTCGTATGGGGCAAATCGGCAACGAGGGGGGGGGGCATTTTGTGCTTTTGCTACTTCCCGCAGGGCACATCATCGGCTGGGGATTTTGCTCGAGTCCGTATGACCCTCACGACCCTCCCCTTTTTCCCGCCTTCTACAAATTCTCAGATTTTCCCCCAACTTTCCTGCCGACTTTTTTTTCAAGATTTTCCCAAAAAATTCTCTACTTTTTCCAAAAAATGTTTCGCTTGCTGCTTGTCGGGGGGGGGGGGCGCAGGGAGGGGTGTAAATAGCACATGTGAAACAGGAAAATCACGAAACGTAAACCACTAACCCCCTCGTACAACCTCCATGAAGCGAGAAAAACCAGCTATCAAAATAAATTTTCCTCAGCCCAAATACGACCCCCTCTCCTGGCGGCCAAATACGACGACCCTCCCCCCTCCCTGTTGGGGAATCCCCAACAACGATGTGCCCTGACTTCGTCGAGCTGTTGAATGGAGACTGTGCAATCTTGTGGCTACGAAATGTTACCCCCCAAAGTGCGTAGGGACCACCAGTCAACTCCTGTGAACAGTTCCTGCCGACTTTGTAAATTCATGATGACACTCATTTCATAAGTTTGGAAGAGTTCACCGGTTTCCAACCAGTAGTACTTGTAAAGCGAAATTAGTGAAGCAGCGAAATTACAAAGTGCCCCCCCCCCTTTGTCGCCGAGCTGCGCCATCGATTCCATTTGGTTCAGACGTTTTTAGACTTTTCATGCCGTTATTCGTCATTTTCCTTGGTTTTCACTTCCCCAGGAAGTGTTTACAGTCTGAAGTTACTGTTACAATTGGACTTTGATTCTTAACTATTACAGCATGTCTTCGTTCTGGTCTAATTGCATTAGCCGGAATAATAACAGCAGTGATGGCTTTCATTCGTATTGTTCATCTTCATGCGACCACCCCGTCACATCTACGGCTCCTTTTGTTCTACATTTTGTGTGTGCATTGCATAGCAGGGTAAGCCTCAAAAATCCATTGTTTCTTCAGGGAAAAAAGGTCTTATTTGTGAGCACTTCATAACCTTGGGTTGGGAACATTTGTAAGCTTTTTCGGTGTGTTTTTGTCTTTATATTCTGTTTTCACAATCGTGTCCCACCCTGTAAGCCTTGTTATCACCTGTCAAGTGCCCTGTAAAATCGTGTCAATATTGGAAAAATGGTGCATTGAAACGACGTTCTCCATGTTTTGCGAATGTTGACCTACCATGTTGACGAGTTTGACAGGAGTTCACAGGATTCTTGACCGGTGATAACAAGGCTGACAGGGTGTTGACAAGAATACTCACGTATACCGTTCACAGAATTTGGTACGCTGGCAAATGCTTACAAGTGCCCCCCCCCCCAAACATAGTAGCCCCATCTCACTACATAGATCACACTACACACTACAACTACTACATACGCTACACTACACTTTACTACTCCTTTTTTTAGTTCTTTTGAATGGTTATTTGGTTGGACAACCCAGTTGTCACTTTTCATTAGCTACGCTAAAGCAATTGAGCTTCTAATTATTTGCTACTTTTATCTGGACGTAGCGTCAAAGATGATGCATTGGAGTTCTGTAGCAGGGAAGCGGTTAGTTTTAAATCCGGTTTTTTTCTTCTGCTTGATTTTTCATATTTATTAGCGGCTTTGAAACAGATGTAAGAAAAAGACTACTCACTTCCACAGTGACAAAAAAATCTGGTAAAAATCCTACAAAAGGTCTATTAGCGCTTCTGAAATAACATGGCTCACGAATGTCCCGTTTAGCGCACAGAGTGCTTTTCGGAAGGTTGCTTTTTCGAGGTTAATGTGGACCAGTAGACAATAGGGCGCGCTGCTTGTCGACGGGGGGGCATTTTGTATTATCATTGCTTCCCTAGTTCCGGTTTACAAATCTCACTCTGGTAAAACTTGTGAACTCTTGTGAAGCTGAAGTAAGATCGTCTAGCCACTATCCTAAAACGTGTCAACATGCGAAGAAAGCGATCTGCCATAAGCATAGTTCTTCGACTACATGCTTGGAGAAGCAAAATGCCGTCCCCCCCCGTCGACACAACCGCTCCGCACAATAGAGTGTCGCTCGTTTTTTTTCTTCGCTGGGCCTGCTGGGAGATCCAGGGTCAGTCAGCTTTCTTTTTGTGACTCACAACGAAGGGGTCAATTATGCGCTGGAGAAGATGGTTTTTCGAAGTTCGCTTTTTTTCTTTTGGAGGCGTTCACCTCTAGCAGGATCATCATACGGTCTTTATTTGGTTCGAACGGTTATGGTTCGTGAACGTGGTTCCTGCGGTTTTCCGGAGGAATTGTTTCCTGCTTTGCGAGATTTTTCCGGTTTCAACGTGCTTTCGCATATTCTGACTCCATCTGCTCTCTTTCCGCCCGCAAATTTCGAAAAACCTGAAATTTCCCGGGAACTAGCGGAAAAACTTGAAAAAGTTGCAGGAAGTTGGAAAAATCTAGGAAAGTGGTAGGGAGGATGGGGAAGGGGGAGTCGTATCCTCGTGGTTTCCCGTTTCATCCTCGTTCCACATGTGCTATATACCTACAGCTCGATTTTATCAGAGGAGGTATCTAGGGGAGGGGGACCTCTCAAGCTACCTGCTAAGGAGGGGGTTCCCACGGACTGGACCAAAATCCCCAACTATTGATGTGCCCTGACGCCTCCTGTGGAGAACTATGAACGCTGGTTTGGTAAAAGCCTTTATGAAACCTGTTCAAAGGTCTCATAAAGAGGAGACGCGTAAGTTGACAAAGCTAGTATGAGAAACTAGCGCGTGGGGAAATGCCCCTCCAAGCCGAACAGCACAAAAAAAACACGATAAAGACTAGAAAGGTCTGGGCTGAACAAGTAAACATTCAAGCTATAAACCGTTATCAGTCATGACGTTAGTAATGTATGTACCTTTTTTGTCCCCTTTTTATCAAAGGTTCTACCGTACGGCTTCTAGAAAAACTTGTTTAGGCTGTGCTTTTCCGCGTTATTCTTGATGTTCACATATTTCACGTTGTTTTTGGTTGCCGGTTTTCTGTTATCTATAGAACCATGGAGAGACTGTCATGGTGAGTTCCATGTTTACATGATGATAGCAAAGATTACGATTTTTGTTCTCTGTTCCTTTGTTTTGAAGACGTGACAAAGTTGTTATGCATCCACAATCTTGAAATTTGATTTGACATTTGAATGTTTTGTATCACTGCAGCGGAAACTTAGTGGCACCGCAGGAAAGCAGATACTTCTGGCTCTGTTTGAGTTAGCGCGTGGTGTGTTACGGTGGGAGACGAGCGATTCTATCGGGCTCATAAGGTCACGCCATGATCGGCGGGCGTGGCCTTCCATTCAGAACCGTAGTGGCTTACTGTGGCGATGTGGCTTTTACAATGACTTGCGGGAGCCAGCCGATGTAAAAGTCTGTGCCCTAAGGCAGCGTTCAGACTTCGCGACGACAGCGCTTCGGTCGCGCGTTCGACGCGATCGATGCAGTTGAAAGCATGCGCATCGATCGCGCCGAACGCGCGACCGAGGCGCTGCCGTCGCGAAGTCTGAACGCTGCCTTATCCTTCCAGGCAAATCCAGTACCAACTTACCGTCCGCGAGAAGTGGAAGCCTTCGGCCTCCGCAGTCGTGGTACAGCATCTTTGTGTGAAAGACATGGGGGGTCGTACTTTTCCGCTGGGGAGGGAGGGGGCTGTCGTATGTGCGTTTGAGAGAAACTGGCTGGCATCGGGGATAAATTTTTCCCTGTTGTTGACTTTTCGCGTGATTTCGCCTGTATTCAGTAAGTATGCCATACCCCCCCCCCCACCGCCCCCTCGAACATTTGTTGGTGCAAAACTGGAAAATGTGGGAAAAACTTGGATTTGTTAAAGAGTGTTGAGGAAGGGGAGCGGTCGCATCGAAATCTCTCGTTTAGTAAGGGAGAGGGTCATACTTGACAACCCTCTCGCGAAAGGGAGGGCGGTGTACCTCACAAAAACACAATGGCATTTCAGCCCATCACGATGCTGCATTCTGTCGCGCCAGTAATCGACCCGGCATTAAACCCGGTGCCCGTGAACGTGCAAGCTTGGGCCACCTTGCCACTACACCTCTCGACCTTTAGGTTATTTTTTATTTCTATTTCGAAGTTTATGGCTACAATGTAAAAATTACAGCACCCTATTGGATTTGGTTCTCCGCTGGAGAATTCATGATGGTGCAGCTAATGGTGGGCTCATTTTTCCTGATATTACGTCGGATGAGTAGAATTTCTGCCGCTCCCAATATAAGAGCTAACCAGCGCCGTGATCTTTTCAGGTTCGTTAAGTGTAGCCAAAACTTTTTCACTTCACGATAATAGGTCCAGTTGATATTCATTACCATTGTGCGCTTTATTTTTGGTGGTCACCCCTCATCACAAAACGGAGAGGAACACGCAGTGGAAAAAGCTCAAGTCCGTTTGTAAGACTGGTGCCCCCAACGATTTATCTCGGAGCGTGGCTTTGATCCAAACTCATTAATTAAGAAGACTTGAGAAATACTGTATTTCGTCGTGTCGCAGCATTCAGAAAGCTTTAAGCGTAGCGATGCTGCTAAGAATTAGCAGATATCTTCCAAGTTTTGAAATGAGAGCAATTTCGAGGAAAGCCAGTTAATGGGGGGGGGGAGCAATTATAGGGGGAGAGACAGACGAGACAATCGTTCTTTGCCGTGCTGTCGCGTGCAGCGCACCGTGTGACGCCGTGCGGCAAGTACTATTTGTGCATCAGTTTATCGCTTACCTTAGAGCGGTGAGATTCATAAGAATTCAGAAGACAAAACACCATGCCCAAAGATGTCGATGTTTTCCGTCCTTCTGAAGTTCATATTCTAACGGCCAGGCAAAACAACTCGTCTTTCGCGGATGCGGCGTTGTTTTCCACGCCCATTAGCGCGCGACATAACTGCCTTGTCACACACCCATTCAGACTACATCGGAAATTTAACGGCAGGCTCAATTCACACAACGAGTCCTTTGAATGCGCCATCCTTCGTTGGCGAATTGCACCACGATTTCCTGTGGCTTTCTAGAATTACCAGTGAAATCACTTCTTTTTTTGAACAGAATGAATTTCAGTCTTTTCTGGGCGTTTGAAACATCAGCTCTGGTCGATCTTGGCTACCACATTAGCCTTTTTATCTTGGCTGATGATAAAAAAGGATGCAGTGGTATCTTTGTGAGTTTGTTTGACTCTTCTTGCTCTTACGGGCGGGTATTATTGCTCATGTTCAGGATCACGATCAGTTACGGTACTCATTACTGAAATTCCCCTACGATCTTATCTCATTTCTTATGCCCGTCTGGGCAATCCTTTATGTCTTCCGTTCTGCTTCGAAGACGAACCCCTATGATGACGATTTAACGGAGGTACGATTTCGGGCGATCATTTTCCTCATGGATTGTTACCCCTTTATGCTTCGCGCCACAGCTTAGTTTAACCTTTTCAGTCCCTTTACTCATCGCGTTCATCGTCAATTTCATCAATTGCTGATGTGGTCGTTGTTCGTAATTGGCGGCGTCGTTATCGGCCACTTACTCAGGTAATTCCTTCTTTGGTCACAATCTCAAGAAATTTAATATCCAGAAGTTATAACCAGAAAGCTGAGTTATGAGCAAAATGCAGACCCTAGACGGGACTTGAACCCTTATATCCTG